TTTTTGTATTTGTGCCCACTGTGTTTTTTTCAGAAGATGCAGTTAGCAATTTCAGCCACTAGATGGTGCAAATTCACAAGAGTCCAGTGAAAGTTCCTCAATTACAGTCCAAGGTGCACCTGTTGCTACACTGCACAAAGTGAAGGAGAGTGAGGCAAAGGAAAAACTTTTTGGATCTGAAATTTCAGTATAAACATGGATCCAAGTTCACTAGAAGTTCAGATTAAGGGAAATTTTTAGAATTTGATCACTGACAAGTCAGGTCATTGAATAAGGAAAGACAAAAGAAAAGTGTTGTAATAATGAAGAGGAAGAGAAAAAGGAACAGATAATGAAATATGAGGGAAAATAAGTCTAAGAAGATGAATTCAAGTGTTAGCAACAATTATAGTATGACCTTTTACAGGTTTGCATCTCCCTGGTAACTGATAGCAACTTTGATGTAAAAATAAAGCTTACTTCATTCTCTTCTAGAAAGTCAGTTATGCTACCCTTAGCTTATCCATTTGGCGGTGTGACATTATCAACAAATATTTTTAGTATCTACTATGAACATGGTGCTTTGTTGATACAAAGTAATACACAGATATACAAATTAACGTAGATACTAGTCTTCAAGCAGAAGAACCAGTAAGTACATATAAGAAGATAAGTAATTGACTGGATTAAGAAAATGTGGCACATATACACTGTGGAATACTATGCAGCCATAAAAATGGATGATTTCATGTCCTTTGTAGGGACATGGATGAAGCTGGAAACCATCATTCTGAGTAAACTATCGCAAGGACAGAAAACCAAACACTGCATGTTCTCACTCATAGGTGGAAATTGAACAATGAGAACACTTGGACACAGGGTGGGGAACATCACACACCAGGGCCTGTCGTGGGGTGAGGAACTGGGGGAGGGATAGCATTAGGAGATACACCTAATGTAAATGATGAGTTAATGGGTGCAGCAAACCAACATGGCACATGTATACATATGTAACAAACCTGGAGGTTGTGCACATGTACCCTAGGACTTAAAGTATAATAATAATTTTTAAAAGAAGATAAATAATTCAAGGCAACCTGAAGGCCATTGTGTCAACTCAGAAAATGGAATACTTTTTGAGAAAGGGAATGGAGTATCAGTGGGTTGGGAAGGAAGGGATCATAGGACTCTCAACCTGTCCAGGGCAAACAAAAAATAAAAGGATTTCTTCTGGCCTTTAGTCATAAGTACATGCAGCAACTCTTCCTTAGAAAATGGACAGTTATGGATATAGACATAGGAAAAGTGCTGTAGGTCAGAATCTGCTGGACAGTGATTAGAAAGCATCCAAAATATTAATAGGAGAGGGTAGGAAATATGAGGAAATAATGGTTAAGGCCAGTACCATCCCTGAAACCACTGTTGCACTAGCCTGGGAATACAGAAAAGGAAGGATGTTAATGGCTTGTTCAGGCCTTTCAGAGATCCAAAGTCCCAGGTCACTTTGATTTTTGAGATTACGGGTTTATCTAAAAAATGAAGAAATGGCAAAACAGAGATATACAATATGTTCTATATTTTATTTATATTTATCTTTTTTTTTTTTTTTTGAGATGGAGTCTCACTCTGTCACCCAGACTAGAGTGCAGTGGTGCCATCTCAGCTCACTGCAACCTCTACCTCCCGGGTTCAAGGGATTCTCCTGCCTCAGCTTCCCGAGTAGCTGGGATTACAGGCGCACGCCACCACACCTGGCTAATTTTTGTATTTTTGGTAGAGACGGGGTTTCACCATGTTGTCCAGGCAGGTCTCAAACTCTTGACCTCAGATGATCCACCCGACTCGGCTTCCCAAAGTGCTGGGATTGCAGGTGTGAGCTACCACGCCTGGCTGTTGTATATTTTAACTGTTTCTGTTTAACAAAGTAATGCTTTTAATACACATGCAAATATGGCGGTTTACTTAATGTCATTCAGCAATAACTTAAAAAGTTTAAATTGGAGGTTTTTGTGAATGTTCCTCTTTGCCGTACACAACTACCTATCTTAATTTTTGGGCCTATCAAAAAGTATTGGGGTGACATTGACCCTTAGGGCGCGGTGGCTCACGCCTGTAATCCCAGCACTTGGGGAGGCCGAGGTGGGCAGATCACCTGAGGTTGGGAATTCGAGACCAGCCTGACCAACATGGTGAAACCTCATCTCTACTAAAAATACAAAAATTAGCCGAGTGTGGGGTTGTGCACCTGTAATCCCAGCTACTTGAGAAGCTGAGGCGGGAGAATTGCTTTAACCCGGCAGGCGGAGGTTGCGGTGAGCCAAGATCATGCCATTGCACTCCAGCCTGGGCCACAAGAATGAAACTCCATCTCAAAAAATAAAAATTTTTAAAAAGGTGGAACAGCTTCTAGTCACCTCTAAAACTTGAAAATAAACACAACTTCTGGAAATGTAGTAGTAACATATTAGCCAAGAAGAGACAGTTTTTTTTTTTGTTTGTTTGTTTGTTTTTGAGATAGAGTCTGGCTTTGTCACCCAGGCTAGAGTGCAGTGACACAATCTCAGCTCACCACAACCTCTGCCTCCTGCGTTCAAGCAATTCTCCTGCCTTAGCCTCCCGAGTAGCTGGGATTACAGGTGCCTGCCACCATGCCCAACTCATTTTTTGTATTTTTAGTAAAGATTGTGTTTCACTATTTTGACCAGGCTGGTCTCAAACTCCTGACTCAAGTGATCCACCCACCTTGGCCTCTCAAAGTGCAGGGATTACAGGCATAGGCCACCGCACCCAGCCAAAGAAACAGATTTAAAGCGGTGTGAAGAATATGAAGTTTTGTATGTGTCTTTTTATTATCTGTGTATATATATTTATAATGTCCATAAAGAGATATATTAACCACTGATTACATATTAATCAGTGTTAATGATTATCTCTGGGAAGAGAGATTAAGTATTACTTTTATTCTTTATACTTTTGAGTATTTTCTAAAAGTTTTTATAATGAGAATGTACTTTATTTTGTTATTATTTTTTTTTTGAGATGGAGTCTCGCTGTGTCGCCCAGGCTGGAGTGCAGTGGCATGATCTTGGCTCACTGCAAGCTCCACCTCCCGGGTTCACGCCATTCTTCTGCCTCAGCCTCCCAAGTAGCTGGGACTATAGGCGCCCGCCACCACAGTCAGCTAATTTTTTTTCTTTTTCTTTCTTTTTTTTTTTTTTTTTTAGTAGAGACGGAGTGTCACCATGTCAGCCTTGATGGTCTCAATCTCCTAACCTTGTGATCCGCCCACCTCGGCCTCCCAAAGTACTGGGATTACAGGCGTGAGCCACTGTGCCCAGCCGAGAACATATTTTAATAATTATAAAAACAGTGTGGTAGCTTAATAAGAAAGAACTTGCAATAGAAACAGCTTTTACCCCAGCACTTTGGGAGGCCGAAGCGAGTGGATCGCTTGAGGTCAGGAGTTCAAGACCAGCCTGACCAATATGATGAAACCCCATCTCTACTAAAAATACAAAAATTAGCTGGGTGTGGTGGCACATGCCTGTAATCCCAGCTACTCGGGAGGCTGAGGCACGAGAATAGTTTGAACCCAGGAAGCAGAGGTTGTAGTGAGCCGAGATTGTGCCATTGCATTCCAGCCTGGGCAACAGAGCGAAACTCCATCTCAAAAACAGAAAAAGAAATGAAACAGTGAATAATTCCACAGGAATAATTGGCACTTCCACAGAAACAGTGTTTTATTAAGTTGTGTGTAACTTGGTCTATAATGGTGACACTAGAAATGGTGCCCAGCTCTGAAGTGATCTGCAGACTGAAGTCCACATCCCAAAGCCCACACAGGAGTTCTCCTTTCTCCTCTGCCTTCTCTCCCATCTCTGTTTTTAAAGATCTTCACTAGTAAGGGAATATAGGACTCGAAGTTATTAACTGATTAGGGAGTCAGAAAATCCTCCGAGGGGTCTATGCTTTGTCAGGGGAAACAAATTGTCCCCAAAGCAAAATAATTTTGATTCTGTCTGTGAATTTCTATAGAGTCAGTACAAATGTTACCCAAATTATACTTTTTTTTTTTTTTTTTTTTTTTTTTTTTTCTGTCTTTTTTTTTTTTTTTTTTTTTTTGAGACAGAGTCTCGCTCTGTCACCCAGGCTGGAGTGCAGTCGTTCAATCTCAGGTTCAAGCAATTCTCATGCCTCAGCCTCTGGAGTAGCTGAGATTATAGGTGCGCACCAGCATGCCTGGCTAATTTTTGTATTTTTAGTAGTAGTAGAGACGGGTTTCACCATGTTGTCCAGGCTGGTCTCCCAAAGTGCTAGGATTACAGGCTTGAGCCACTGTGCCCGGGCTCCAAGAAGAGTTAGAAGAGTTGATGAGTGCAGATTTTGCCATAGGTTTTATCTCCTGGGAAATCTCATGTTTCAGGATTAAGGGACATTCAGTGGTGGATGAGGCTGGGAAGGGTGAGGATGCGTGTAGGCATTAGTTCTGGACCAAGAACTTCTAAGCATTTAATGTTTTTAATCATCTTCACCAGTGGTCTTGGGAAAGAGCAGGCATTTTTTTTTCTTCCTATTTTATTGTCAAACTAAGTCACAGATGGTAAAATAAACTTGAGGCAACATTGTGGATCAGTGGCAGGATGCAAATAATATACTCATTCATCCAAATGCCAACCTCAGTGTTCTTTCCTGTCTATCATATTTTCAAGGTGTGCTCTATGGAAATACAGAGGTTCCTTTTTTTTTTTTTTTTTTTAGATGGAGTTTTGCTCTTGTTGCCCAGGCTGGAGTGCAGTGGCAAGATCTCGGCTCACTGCAACCTCTACCTCCTAGGTTCAAGCGATTCTCCTGCCTCCCCCTCCCCAGTAGCTGAGATTATAGGTGCCCTCCACCATGCCCGGCTAATTTTTGTGTGTTTAATAGAGATGGGGTTTCAGCATGTTGGCCAGGCTGGTCTCAAACTCCTGACCTCAGGTGATCCACCCACCTTGGCCTCCCAAAGTGCTGGGATTACAGGCGTGAGCCACCGCGCCCGACCCTAGAGGTTCTTCGGAGCTTCTTTGAAACGCGTCCTCATTATCCATGCTTTGTATCTGTTGTCTCTTTCAGACTGGACTTGAATATTAAATCGAGCCTTAGGGTGAGATTTTCCCCTGTTGGTATTGTTTTGATAATCACTTTTTGGACAGCACTTGAAGTGAAAGAAAGAAGGATACAGTTTTATGTTTTGTTTTGTTTTGTTTGTTTGTTTTCCAGAGAACTAAGAAAACGGAATTACTTAGAAACAGACACATTTCACCAAAATGAAATGGAACGGTTTCAGACTCTGAGGAAAAGAAGCAGGGCCTCACCCTGTCTTATCCCTCCTGACATTTCCTTTTTCACCTGAACATTGATTCAAGATCAGGTGGTTTCACTTTCACTTTCTCACCGAACTCTTATTTAAGCAGGTTAGATTTGACTCATAGCTATGCTTCTGTGAGAAACAGCATTATCATAATTATTTTGCTTTGGAATCCTTGTCCAAAAGGTATGTAGCTTTCTGTTAAAGTGTGATATAACATCAGAGCCACCTTAGGAATTCTGGATCGTCAGAAAACTTCACTTGGATACTAATGGTCTGTAGTCCCTGAACCCCTTGGGGATAACTTATGAGGAAGACATTTGGAATACATAGGGTCAAGTTTCCTTCAGCAATGTGTGGATAGGTACATGTAATACCAGTGGATAGGTACATGTAGTACCAGAAGCTAAATTACAAAACCTTGTGAACGTCAACCAGGGAAATGAGGAGTCCCACTGTAAGCTAGTTGAGGACCAATGAGCGTGAAGTCAGCTGTGAAGATAACAGAGGAGTTGGAAGCTATGTCCCACTAACAGCTGCCTTGTTCCTTGGAGGCTATGTTTGAGTCTTCTGTCAAAGAGAGCAATAAGGTCCATTCACAGTGCTTGAAGGGAACGCTTTTTGTTCTCATCTGAGGGGATGGAAAGATATCCATTTTGATGGATGTGTGAAGTGAATTACAGAAGGTTGTGGCTCAGACAGAGGCATGAGGGTAACTCTGCTAAGCCCACACTGTCCCTTCATTAACCAGGAATTGGTGTTTGATTGTAATGTCCCTGCTGAAGATATGAGTGTGAAATTGGCAAGAATGTGCCCATATTAATAGGGAGAAGACTGTGTAGTATCATTCAGTGTTTGAGATACAGCAGAACTTTTTAGAAGTATGTCTGGTGGATAACAGTGATCCCTGCAGCTTTCTTTGGGTCTGATGAATTGGCAGCATCTCGTCCAACCTAGAGATTGAAAGGAAATACGAAAGTTAAAAAAGGATGCAAGTGTATATAGTTCTTCATGTACCAAGAAAAGGGCTGGCTAAGTACAAAACCCCATGTAATTCCAAGTGCACTTCATTTTGCCTCTTCATTAATCAATAATTACACTGAGAAAGTATGATCAAGGTGCACATAGGTATGAGAACCTATACTTGCTTGGAACCTATAACCCACTAGGAAAGTAATTAAAAGATCTGGATCATAGTTCTGTTCTACCAGCTGTGTAACCTTGGGAAGTCACATAACCTCTTAAAGCCTCAGCTTAAGTATGAGTGAAATGTAGATGCTTGCCCTGGCTACTTTCCAGGATTTATGTAAGGCTCAAATGAGATAATGTATATAAAATTGCTATCTTAGTACTATTTTATTTTTTTTTTGAGTTGGAGTCTCGCTCTGTCACCCAAGCTGCAGTGCAGTGGTGTGATCTCAGCTCACCGCAGCCTCTGCCTCCCAGGTTCAAGCGATTATCCTGCCTCAGCCTCCTGAGTAGCTGGGATTACTGGCATGTGCCACCACGCCCGGCTAATTTTTCGTATTTTTAGTTGAGACAGAGTTTCACCATGTTGGTCAGGCTGGTCTCGAACTCCTGACCTCATGATCTGCCCACCTTGGCCTCCCAAAGTGCTGGGATTACAGGCGTGAGCTACCGCACCTGGCCCTATTTTTATTCCTTTATCATATAGTAGCTTATTATGTTCATAGAAGTTCAATCATAGTTGCAGCTCCATGGTTATCTCTCATTCTAATTCTGAACTAGACTTTGTACTTTCCTTCAGGCCTATTTCTTCCAATGCTCAGGAGAAATGATAATGTTCTTTTGTTTTTGAGGCAGGGTCTCACTCTCTTTCCCAGGCTGGAGTGCAGTGGCTCAATCATAGCTCACTGCAGACTTCAGCTCCTGAGCCCAAGTGATCCCCTCCCACCTCAGCCTCCCAAGAAGCTAGAGCTACAGGCACGTACTACCAGCTGGCTTTTTTCTTTTCTTTTCTTTTTTTTTTTGCCTTCCTTTTTTTGAGATGGAGTCTTTTTGTCACCAAGCATGGAGTTCCAGTGCGCACAATCCCGGCTCACCGCAACCTCCGTCTCCTGGGTTCAAGCAATTCTCCTGCCTCAGCCTCCGAGTAGCTTGGGAACTCACAGGTGCGTGCCACCCATGCCCAGCTACATTTTTTGTATTTGTTTAGGTAAGACAGGGTTTCACACATGTTGCTAGTATTGGTCTCGAATCTCTTGACCTTGCGTGATCAACCTGCCTTGCCTCCCAAAAGTTTGGAATTATAGGCGCTGAGCCACGTGCCCGGCCAGCTGGCCTATACACACACACACATCACATATCATACACACATGTTTTTTGTTGTTAATATACTACATCTATATATAACTGTGTGTGTGTGTGTGGAGTATAATATATATATATATTTTTTTTTTATGACAGTGTCTCCGCTATGTTTGCCTAGGACTGGTCTCACACTCCCTGGACTCTAGCAAGTTTCCTGCCTCTGCCTCCCAACCGGGTTCAGCCTGATAAAATCAGGCCTGGCCTTAAAAACTCTAAAAGATTCTTGGCTCCACATCTAAATCATCTGATTCAGTTATATGGGCTCAGAGGATGTGTATTCAATAAGCACCTCATTGTAATTATGGGCTGGACTGATGTTAGGAAAAACAGTTAGTATAAAATCCTACCTATTTCCTGACATAAGAAGGATTGCCCACATTTTGCTTCATAACTGAAGCAGCTCCTGGTTCCTAGCACATAAAAATATTATTCTTTTCACAGTCCTCTTAGGGGCGAATCTCCTATCACTTATATATTCAACCCCATTTTCTTTCTTTTTCTCTTTCTTTTCTTTTTTTTTTTTGGACCAGAGTCTACTCTGTTGCCCAGGCCTGGAGTGCAGTCGCGCACAACAATCGGCTCACTGCAATCTCCGCCTCCCAGGTTCAAGTGATTCTCCTGCCTCAGCCTCCCGAGTAGCTGGGACTACAGGCATGTGCCACCATGCCTGGCTAATTTTTGTATTTTTAGTAGAGACGTTTCATCATGTTGGTCAGGCTGGTCTCAATCACCTCAGGTGATCCACCCGCTTCGGCCTCTCAAAGTGCTGGGATTACAGGCGTGAGCCACCACGCCCAGCCTCTACCCCACCTTCTTTAAGCAAATGACATAAACCACACAGAGAACACTTTCCTTCTGAGGCTGAGAGTCAAGCTTGAATTCAGCTGTCCCAGGTGGCTGGCCTCCCTTCCTTTGCCATCTCCACAACCGCTGGCATTGGCACAGTTCCCTGGCTCCTAGGCATTGACACTGAAGGGAGAAAATGACTGGTATTAATATCAAGTGGCTGCTAAGCATTTGGTTTTCTTCCAAACCTCATATTGGGCAACTTAAAGGAAGTCATCTCTTCTAAATAAAATATTCAGTCCTATGGACCTATCCTTCCTAGAAAATGTCTAAGTACAGCAGAGGAAAGGAACTTGCATTTAGCGAGCACCTATGTGCCAGGTGCCTTTCACACAGGATCTCAATCTTTATAACTAGCATGAGAGGCAAATATCATGAGACTTATTTTACACGTGAGGCCCCGAGGTTAGAAAAGTCAAGCAACTTTCCCCAAACCACTCAGCTAGTGAGTGTGAGTGGCAGATCTACTCAAATTCCAAAGTCTGCTTTTCTCCTTATGCCAAGCTGCCTCTGGAACAGAAGAAAGTCTTTATAGGTCAAGTTCAAGGATTCAATACAACAGCAAACTTACAGGGCATGGGACTTCAAAAATTACAAATACTATAATGGCAACTCCACTGAGCAACAGGGTGACAGCAATCAGAATTTTGACCACAATACTCCATTTCTGTCTCTTCTCTAGGTTCTCATCTGTGTCTAAAGGAGAGAGGGGAGTGGAAGAGGGAGAAAAGAAAATTTGAGAGAGGGAAGAGATTGACCCTTTGACCTGAAGTTATTCTGGCTCACAAGACTATTAGAGGCCCAGCCAGACCCAGAGGCAGAGGCAGAATTTCCAATTCAAACTCAGGGTTGGAGGGAGTGGGGGTGAGCTGAGCATCATGGGCTCTGCTCTAACTTCTTTTGCACTCTCTTCCCAGTGAGTCACCTTCCCTGGAATTGGGGATTTTCCATAATCACATAGGGCTGATTCTTACACTGCTTGCAGGAAGAAAAATCTTGGGTACACCTGGAGTTCTAAACTTCTTTCATTGTCAGCTTTATCAGGGTTCCTACCATTTTGCTCTGACACATTTTATGGGATTAGAAAATCGCCCTTCCTGTGTTTCTCCTGGCTTTCATGGGGTATAAGAGGAAGAAATGTGAAAATTAGCACTGCTTCTGGGTCAGAAGCTCAATCTGGCGGCACATGGCTAATATGCATCTTTTTCTCATTCTGTCGCTCAGACTGGCATGCAGTGGCACAATCTCAGCTCACGTCAGCCTCAATCTCCCAGGCTCAAACCATCCTCCCACCTTAGCCTCCCGAGTAGCTCAGACCACAGGTGAACGCCACCATGCCCGGCTAATTTTTTAAAAATTTTTGTACAGACAGTCTCATTATATTTCCCACTGAGCTTGAACTCCTGGCCTGAAGTGATCCTACAGCCTTGGCCTCCCAAAGTGCTGGAATTACAGGTGTGAGCCACCTCACCTTGTCCTAATATGCATCTTGTTATTACTAATATCACATTTTTTCCCCTGGTAGAAACTAGGATGTAACCTAAATTGGAATCTTACAGAATTTTAGTCCTGGCCAATTTAAGGAGGATTCTTGCTAAAAAAACAGTGAGGAAAGCTCACACCTGTAATCCCAGCACTTTGGGAGGCCAAGGTGGGCGGATCACTTGAGGTCAGGAGTTTGAGACCAGCCTGGCCAACATAGTGGAACCCATCTCTACTAAAAATACAAAAATTAGCCAGGCATGGTGGTGCGTGTCTGTCGTCCCAGCTACTCAGGAGGCTAAGGCAGGAGAATTTCTTGGATCCAGGAAGCAGAGGTTGTAGTGAGCTGAGACTGTGCTACTGCTCTCCAGCCTAGGGTACAGAATGAGACTCCATCTTAAAAAACAAAAACCAAAAAAACAGTGAAGACGAAAAGATGCTCTTGGAGGCTGGGTGCAGTGGTTCACGCCTGTAATCCCAGCACTTTGGGAGGCTGAGGCAGGCGGATCACAAAGTCAGGAGTTCGAGACCAGCCTGGCCAACATAGTGAAACCCTGTCTCGCTAAAAATACAAAAACTTAGCCCCGGGCATGGTGTGCATGCCTGTAGTCTCGCAGCTGACCTCAGGAGTGAGCCACGAGAATGCGCCCGTTGAACCCCACGGGTTTACCCGCTCCTCGCGGAGTGTGGTGTACCCGAGATCACACCAGCTGGCATCCAGCCTGGGTGACATGAGTGAGATCCATATCGAAACAAAAGCTACTGCTGCTGGCCTCGCGCCCCCATTGGGCCCGTGGTCGGGACTGGGTAATGCCTGTATCCAGCCAGTTTGGGAGGCTGAGGCGGTAGGATCGCTTGACGCAGGAGTCTGAGTCCAGCTTGGACAATGTGGTAGACCTGTCTCTACAAAATTTAAAATTAGCTGAACATGGGTGGCACGCACTGTCCATCAGCTACTCAGGAGCTGAGTGGGGGATCACTTGACCCAGAGGTCGGCTGCAGTGAGCCATGTCTGCACCACTGCCTTCAGTCTGGGCAACACAAGACCCTGTCTCAAAAAAAAAAAAAAAGAAAAGAAAGAAAAGCACTTGGTTGGTGTCATGACTCTTATAATTGCTTAGTGTTTAAATATTGTCCACTCTACATACAGCGGGCTAGAATTACTACTACGGAAATACAGTTTTTCTGTCCCTAATTCTGGCTCAGGTGAGCTCATTTGCTGTGGAGATAAACGATCATTGATGGTGTCAAATTACAAACATTCTGGGACCTTCTTTATAGAGAAGCTAATTGTTGTTGTTGTTGTTTTGAGACAAAGTCTCACTCTGTCACCAGGTGAGTGCAGTGGGACAATCTCGGCACTGCACTCCGCCTCCTGGTTCAAGCAATTGTCCTGCCTCCGCCTCTGTGTAGTGCTGGGATTACAGGCCTGTGCCACGCCGTCTGGTAATGGTTTTGTATTTTTAGTAGAGACGGGTTTCCACGATATTGGTGAGCTGGTCTGAACTCCTGACCTCAGGTGATACACCACCTCGGCCTCCAAAGTGTGGGGATTACAGACATGAGCCACGCGCCTGGCCTAGAGAAGCTAATTTTTTTTTTTTTTTTTTTTTGAGACGGAGTCCTGCTCTGTCCCCCGGGCTGGAGTGCCAGTGGCGGCCAGCTTCACTGCAAGCCCGCCCCCTGAGGTTTACGCCATTCTCCTGCCCTCAGCCTCCCGCGATGCCTGTGCGGACTCACAGGCCCCGCCCGCTCGCCCGCTAGTTTTATTATTTTGTAGAGGACGGGCTTTTCACGGTTCACCAGGAGGTCTCGATCCCTGCCTCGATGACCGCCCGTCTGGACTCCCAAAGTGCGCGATTCAGGGCTCTGAAGCAGTCGCGCCACGGCCTGAGAAGCTAATTTTTTTTAAATAAAAAAATTGAATGATTTTTCAACGTACAGTCAGTAACTTCTCAACCTTAAGAAAACATATCAGTAGATCCAGACTAACATTGGGGCTAAAAATGTTTCTTTTTCTGTTCTTATTTTACTCCTACTTATTCTGTAGTTTGTCATTTCAAAGCTAGAAAAATTACCAGTACTTGTAGTTTTCTCTTCTTTATTCCCAGGAGTTATAGAAGGGGTAGTGGTGGAAAAAGTCTCTGATGAAGCCCCCATCACTGCATAGACTTTACATTGTGAGATCCCTGGTAAAAAAGCTATAAAACAAAGTAGAAAAGATGAAACTTTAGGGAAAAACTTCATCCTGCCTTTGAATCTGATAAAACCCTACCCAGCTTCCAATTGTGGTCCCATTAACCTGTCTGTCCATAGGTTTAGGGTGTGAACACAAAAATAATGCCAAGAAATAAATACGGTAGCATAACTAATAAGAGATATGGACTTAAATGCCCATGGGATTTTTGCTAACATAGGACAGAGTGAAGGAAGTAAACCAAATATATTCCTATCATCTATTAGGCCACAATAATAAATAAAGAATGAAGGCCCGTTAAAACGCCTGACCGGTTTCCTTCGTTAAAAAAGAACTGGCTCTAAAGTCCAGGAAACAACATAAATATCAACAGTACCTATGACGCGGCAAGTGGTCCTAGAATACTCGATCCAACTAACTCTGAGAGGGACTGGGGAGCAGAGAGAGGTCGAAGAAGAAAGCCACCCAGTTCATTGCACTCCTTGATTCATTCATTCCATCATTTTTTTTTTTGTTTTTTTTTTTCTGGAGAATAGGTCCCCCTTCTGACCAGGCCGGAGCAGTGCGTGATTCGGCTCACGCAACCTCGCCCCCCAGGGTTAAAGTGAGGCTCTGTCCTCAGCCCTCCAAGTAAGCTGACACTCACGGTCCCCACCTATCACACCTGGCCAATTTTGTATTTTGTACGAAGGGGTTTCACCATGATTTGCCAGCGGTCTAAACTCCCTACCGCAAGTGAGCACCACCTCGGTCCCAAACATGCGGCGATTACACGTGAGCCACTGGCCTGGCACCTTGCCTGTCTTCAAAGGATCTTCGCTACTTGTTGGAATTGCGCTAGCCAGTGGCAAGGTAGACAGGTACCTGTTAGGTAGCCATTGCAAAAGTCCAGATGAGACGATGATGTGATACAACCAGCATGGAAGAATGGGAGGGAAGGAGTCTACCGGCAGCCGAAATAACCTCACCGTCTCCAGAATTGACCTAAGCCCAATTCAGAACAGGTGTGTTTCTGTTCTAATTTTAGTGGTCTTATATCATATGCAATTAAAAAAGGTCTATAAATCACCTTACTTTTCAAATACCCTTCCCGTTCTAAAACATCCATGAAAAATGGATAG